CTAAATCTCCTAAACCTCCTAAACCTCCTACCTTCTAAACCTTCTAAACCTCCTAAACCTTCTAAACCTCCTAAACCTCCTACCTTCTAAACCTTCTAAACCTCCTAAACCTCCTAAACCTCCTAAACATCCTACCTTCTAAACCTTCTAGATCTCCTAAACCTCCCAAACCTCCTAAACCTCCTAAACCTCCTAACCCTCCTAACCCTCCTAAACCTCCTAAACCTCCTAAACCTCTTCACCCTCCTAAACCTTCTAAACCTCCAAAACCTCCTACCTCATAAACCTCCTACCTCATAAACCTTCTAAACCTCCTAAACCTCCTAAACCTCCTAACCCTCCTAACCCTCCTAAACCTGCTAACCCGAAAAATAAGAGAACTAACGTGTTAACTTGTATTTATCAAACCCAGCACAAAATGGATTTCTCGCATGAACTTTTGATTTGATGTTTGAACAAACAGACAAATCTTTTCTCAGTAATTCATCAATGATTATTTCAAAACAAAAAGAAAAGAAAATATATATTTCAAATATTAAAACATCAAAGAAATATACCATAAAAAATATTTATATAAAAATCTGTAATTCGTTGTATCGGCAATAATTCTATTGTTCAAATTCAGATTAATAGTTTTCTTGTATATGTCATACATATATAATTATTAATATTATGCTTTTCATAAACTTTGCAAAACTAAAATCAAGCAAAAAACATTTTTTGTGTTTCATATATTTAATCTAAAAAGACGACCTTCTTAGGCTACAGGCTCACATGTTTCTGTCATATTTTGATTAACAATTACTATAGAGGTAAGTGTTAGAGTGTATGTTTATGAAAACTCATTTTCCATAGAAAATACAGAGGAAGACGACAATTATAACCTTCCAGGGCAACGGAGTTCCTAAACGATTAATAAAATTAAGTTTAATCTTTTTATTGAAAATATTTTACCGAATGAAATAAAATAACGTGAACGCTATTATATTTTTTGTCATAGATTACATTTTTAATCTTTGATTTTTTTAAAAAATATCGTTTGGATTGCAAATGATTTATTAGAAAGCAATTACAAAAATAATGGATAAAAATAAATCCCCCCAGACTTATATAACAATCCATTAATTACGGATTTTCTTCCAAAGATTGACAACTTCGGGTTTTTCCAAAATGAGGGGTCTTCCTTCCTTACTTTCTTCTTTGTATCTTAAAAATTACGGAAATAGTTTTGGTTGAATATTTTTATTGAATTGAAATCAGAAGAAAATGCTCATATTTATAAGGAATTTCTGTGAAAAATATCAAAATCAATTTATGAACTTTGCTGGAGACTTTTTAGTTAGAATTAAACCCATACCAAAAAAAAACTTTTAAGCAAATTTTTGTAATTTTCGTTCTTGTCAATTAATAATTTGTTTTAAATGTAAAAAGATATATTTGCCTGTAGCTGAGTTTCTAAATTCAAAATTTCCTTTTGTATTCTTCTGTACTGGAGCTTCCTTACACACAGAGTTTACATTAAACCTTCCCCATCCAACCTAAACAATTTATGTACTGTACATAATGTACATTAAACCTTCCCAGTCCAAACCTGAACAGTTAATGTACTGTACATGATGTACATTAAACCTTCTCCATTAAACCTAAAAAAATGTATGTACTGTACTTGATCTACATTAAACCTTCTCCATCAAACCTAAACAATTTATGTACTGTACATGATGTACATTAAACCTTCCCCATCCAACCTAAACAATTTATGTATACTGTACTTGATGTACATTAAACCTTCTCCATCAAACCTAAACAATTGATGTACTGTACATGATTTTTCTTGTTTTTCGCCCCATGCAGTCTATTTATAATAAAGAGGGCCACCTGTTCCCTCCCCCCTCTAGCTTCGGGTCAGAATAGAGTTTATTCCCTTTTTTAATATTTTTGGCAGAACTCTTATTTCCCAAAGTATTTTTTTATGTATTCCAACCTGAACATTATTTTTTCTGTTTTCCTTCTTTAAAAAGTTTTCAAGCGGAAGGAAATATTCTCTGAGTGCGTCCGTATTCATATCCGGTTGCCCTGTCAGGGTCAACATAGCTTCCTTCCACGGCCTAAACATTGTACATTGTAAAAGATATAGTATCATTTAACATGATGACAGTTATGAAATTAAATTCTCCAATGAACATAATAGTTGATAAGTACACAGACAGATTTTACTTTATGATATGATTTTCTAACAGTGAGAACCATAAAAGAAAGACGATATTAATGCAATCTTAAGTGCATTGATGATTTATAAAGGAAATAATGCTAATAATAAAACTCTAGAATAGGAAGACGATATTAATGCAATCTTAAGTGCATTTATGATTTAAACAGGAGATAATGCTACTAATAAAACTCTAGAATAGGAAGACGACTTTTAGACTTAGTTCATGTCTTTAAATAATCAAATGAAAAAGAACATGAACATGATTCACAGCAATGTGTAGTATAAACAAAACCATTTCACTTTGTTTGCTTTGAAACAACATTAAATTCACTTCAGTATTTATTTAATGTCGTCTACCTATTCTACAGTTTTCTGGTTATCACTGTGTGAAAAATAAAGTGCTAAAAGAGAGAAGTTGCATAAACTTATTTTTGTGTAACTCTGATATTACACCCTTCACAATTTTAAACCACCATTAACTACATTTCTTTAAAAAAAAACAATCCCCTGCTGGTCAATCTCCTGGCTGTATGAGTAATGAATATAGAAATAATTTTGATATTATAAAAAAATCTTTATTTCAAAATACTGTATAAACTTTCCATTGTAAATGGTTCCGAATCCTGATCGATACATAATACATATTTCAGTTTCTCTAGAACGTGATAACAATTGTTTTGAATTCTTAAAAGATTTGAAAAAATTGTTGATGGTTTTGATGGTGAAAAAACTAAGAATCTGAATTTTGTATCAGTTTGGTTTAAGTTCTAGTATTTATCTAGATATATGGGTTACACAGTAATCACAAAGGATGAGACTGTAAAGACGACCTGAAACTCTGAAAATGACAATCCCAAGTTTAAATTTAGTCTTTTGTCTTGAATAAAGTCTTTTAATAGCTTAATTAATGAGTTGGCGAAGAAAGAAACAAGTTCATAGTTGCACGTAATCATGACTTTAAGGAATTAGACTGTATAAATTCCGTACAGTCGTTTCTAAGGTCTCATCCTTTGAGGGAGTGGGTAACCTTCGTCTTTTGTGCCATTTTTCTTTTTATATTATTTCCATCCCAGGATACTATTTATGTTTAAAATGAAGAATAAATTACCTAGATGATCCTAGTTTCAACATTTCTCTTAAACTGTCTCCCGCCTCTCTTGAACCATAGAAGTTGCATCTGTGAAGGGGAAGCTTAGGGTCCCCAGGTACATATTTTCCTAAAATATCTTCATTTTAGGGTCCCCAGGTACATATTTTCCTAAAATATGTTCCTTTTAGTGTCCACGGGCACATATTTTCCTAAAATATTATCATTTTAGGGTCCCCAGGTACATATTTTCCTAAAATATAATCATTTTGGGTCCCTGGGCACATATTTTCTTATAATATTATTATTATAAAGGTCCCCAGGTACATATTTTCCTAAAATATTATTATTTTTGGTTCCCCGGGTACATCTTTTCCTAAAATATTATTGTTATAGGGTCCCCGGGAACATATTTCCTAAAATATTATCATTTTAAGGTCCCTGGGCACATACTTTCCTAACTAATATTATATTAGGGTCCCCGGGCGGCACATTTTTTTAGAAATATTATCATTGTTGGGTCCCTGGGCACATACTTTTCTAAATTATTATCCTTTTAGGGTCCCTGGGCTCATATTTCACTAAAATATTATCGTTTTAGGGTCCCGAGCACATATTTTCAAAAATATTACATTGTAATCACATCCAAAGTTTCCAGAGAAAGATAACCCTCCCCCCCTCCAAAAAAATACGACATAAACCTATATATCTTTTAGTATATTTAAAATTATTAAATGAATTAATGTTATAAACAACAATATTTCAATAACAAAGATTTTTCCCCCAGTTTTGTCTTTTTTAACAAATGTTTTTGTCTCTGGTGGATAAGAGCTGACTAGAAATCAAAGCATTTTTAAAAGTTGTCACCGTCGCGTTGTATTGAAATAAACGCCGAGACCACTGTAGGGTCATTTAAATATTAACATTAGAATACCTGATTTAAGACAAAGTGCTCGGTAGAACTGGAATTCATAAACAAATGCCGTGAAATATCTGACATATGGAACATCATTGGCTACATGGTACTAAATATATTTATCTTTAATCATCTTTATACTCCAACATTATGTACAACGGATTCAAGTGACTGTCTTAGAATCCTTTCCTATCCTTTGATATCCTTTCCTATCCTTTGATATCCTTTCCTATCCTTTGATATCCTTTCACACCCTTTCCTACCTTTCGTTTCCTATCCTTTCCTATCCTTTTCTATCCTTTCCTATGCTCTCCTATCATTTCCTATCCTTTCCTATCCTTTCCTATCCTTTCCTATCCTTTCCTATCCTTTCCTATCCTTTTAGATCCTTTTCTATGCTCTCCTATCCTTTCCTATCCTTTCCTATCCTTTCCTATCCTTTTCTATCCTTTTCTATCCTTTCCTATCCTTTCCTATCCTTTCCTATCCTTTCCTATCCTTTCCTATCCTTTCCTATCCTTTCATACCCTTTCCTATCCTTTCCTATCCTTTCATACCCTTTCCTATTCTTTCTTTTCCTTTCTTATCCTTTCTTATCCTTCTCTTTCCTTTCCTATCTTTTCCTATCCTTTCCTATCCTTTCCTATCCTTTCCTATTCTTTCTTTTCCTTTCCTTTCCTTCCGTATTCTTTTACTTTCCTTTCTTATCCTTTCTTATCTTTCCCATTCTCTTAATCCTCATCTTTCTTTTTCTATTCTTTCCTGCCCAATTCTATCTCTCTCCTTTTCTCTATAACCTTCTCACCAAACCTTTCCCCCTCTTTTCTACCAAAAATGGTTTTTGCTTAAAGATAATTTCCTTAGATCCAGCATCGAAATCTTCATAACTTCGCTTATTAGGAGGAGTCAGTCCTTGTATTTCGTGTCTGAAATTATTTCAACAATTTCATGAAATTTTACTTATTTACCCTTGCCTTTGGTGTTTTTCTTTATCATTCTTTAATCAGTTGTTATTATTCTTATCATTATTATTTTTGTCTGCATAGTTTGAATTTGCTCAAAATATCAAAGCCATAACAATTACAGGGTTACCCGTGAGGATGTGACTGTAATGACGACGCAAAACTCTTAAAATATGACGATTTGAAACTTAAGTTTGTGGTTCTGCCTTTAATTTAGTATAATTAAATAGTTTACGGAATGATTTCTAAAAAAAAAGAAAACTGCAGAAAACTGAATGTAAGGAAACTGCAGGGAACCATGAATGTAAGAAAACTGCAGGGAACCATGAATTTAAGAAAACTGCAGGGAACCACGAATGTTAGAAAACTGAAGGGAACCATGAATGTAAGAAAACTGCAGGGAACCATGAATGTAAGAAAACTGCAGGGAACCATGAATGTAAGAAAACTTCAGGGAACCATGAATGTAAGAAAAAGGATAAAACAAGTTCCGTTGAGTCCTCTCTAAAGTCTCATTCTTTGTAGTCTGAATTCTGACAATTGCTGGTATATGGATTTAGAAATTCTCCCTTTTATATCTTAGTTACAAATATGAATACATCAGTAATAACTGTGAATTATTACTGAATAAAATTTTAAAAAAGCGAACCTGAGTTTCCACCAATGGCAGTTCATGTTCTCAACAGTAGTTTCTCCAGAGAAAACATCCCATCTATGGAAAATAAAATTAGTTTGTATAAATATATTTCTTGATCTTGCAGAATTTCAAATATGTCCAGATCGATAAGCACGGAAATTGAGCAAAATTAATCTTTTGTCTACGTGGTATTTTTAAGTTAACCGAAATTTTAATTTAAACAACTTACAGGGACTGGTAACCTTTACAGTAATACCCATTACCCAAATACAGGGACTGGTAACCTTTACAGTAATACCCATTACCCAAATACAGGGACTGGTAACCTTTACAGTAATACCCATTACCCAAATACTAAATTCTTATTTTTTATTATTTTCTACTAAATTACCTCTATATCAACAGACTCTGCTAAAAGCCCTAAAAAAATTTAAATTTAAAACAATTTCAATTTTATGTCATGTTGAGCTTTCCACAATGTAAGCTTTCATCCTTACAACCATTCTCTATGAACAAGAAAAAATGTTCAACTTCAGTTTGATCAAATTCTCCTAAACACAACCTTCTGACAAAATTAAATTTTTTTTGCGAACACTCACTTGAATTCCCAGTTTAACAGTATTTAACTTGAAAACTAAAAATATTAATCATTTACCGATTCGTTTGAAATATGTGGCAGTACCAACTGAAAGAGAGAGGATATCAGCCACCCCCTCGTGGAACCCTGGGTTAGCTCCTTGTCTAAAAAAATAATTGTGATCGAAAAAATGTAAAAATATTTTAATCTTATGCAATTCTTAAGAAATGAAGAAAAAATTTCCCATTATGGTATTCAATATGGCGGTGATTCTACTAATATTGTATGTGTCCCACAAATAACGAATTTTTTCCTCAATTAAGAATGACAGGTCGTGTTTTAGAGGGAGATTTACCAAATTCTTTGATTTAAAATAGACCGGTTATAGATATAGGTAGATTAAAATCAAGATGGGGGCAGGGGGGGGGGTCCTGATGAATCGAAATAGACAGTTAAATTAAAAGATAAATATATAGATAGAGAAAAAAGGCGACCGATATATTATACATTCATGACTTCAATTATACTATATTCAATATAGTCTGTCACATTTATAAAAATGATAATCTATACCTGTATAGATGAGGTTGGGTCTTATATTGTAAAAAGTATTGAATATGCCCCATCTCATGATTTACTGTAATAAAATCCTCTTGGTTCACTCGAGTACATTGTTTTATCCTAAATTAGAATAAAATAGAATACGTTTACCCTAATTTAAAGGAACAGATTTTTAAAGGAACAGATTTTTAAAGAAACAGATTTTTAAAGAAAAAGTGAACTTCTATCCTTTAACCTATTCCAAGATACTGAAGTTCTATACTTTAACCTATTCCATGATACTGAAGTCCTATCCTTTAACCTATTCCATGATACTGAAGTCCTATCCTTTAACCTATTCCATGATACTGAAGTTCTATCCTTTAACCTATTCCATGATACTGAAGTTCTATCCTTTAACCTATTTCAAGATACTGAAGTCCTATCCTTTAACCTATTCCATGATACTGAAGTCCTATCCTTTAACCTATTCCATGATACTGAAGTCCTATCCTTTAACCTATTCCAAGATACTAAAGTCCTATCCATTAACCTATTTAAATGTAATAAAGTCCTATCCTTTAACCTATTCCAAGACCTGAAGTTCTATCCTTGGGCCTATTCCAAGATACTAAAGTTATATCCTTTAACCCATTCAAAGATACTCAAGTTCTATCCTTTAACTCATTCAAAGATACTGAAGTCCTTTCCTTTAACCTATTAAAAGATACTGAAGTTCTATCCTTTAACCTATTTAAATGTACTAAAGTCCTATCCTTTAACCTATTCCAAGATACTGACCTAAAGGCCTATCCTTTAACCCATTCCAAGATATTGAAAGTCCTATCCTTTAACCCATTCCAAGATAATGAAATTCTATCCTTTAATCTATTCCAAGATACTGACCTGAAGTCCTAACCTTTAACTTATTCCAAGATAGTGAAGTTCTATCCATTAACCTATTCCAAGATACTGAAGTTCTATCTTTAAAACTATTCCAAGATACTGACCTAAAGTCCTATCCTTTAACCTATTCCAAGATACTGAAGTCCTATCCTTTAACCTATTCCAAGATACTGACCTGAAGTCCTATCCTTTAACCTATTCCAAGATACTGACCTCAAGTCCTAACCTTTAACCTATTCTAAGATACTGACCTAAAGTCCTATCCTTTAACCTATTCCAAGATACTGACCTGAAGTCCTCTCCATCGTAGAAGTCCCAGGCTGAAGCATGACAAGTGAGCTCTCTTCCATCCTCAGGTTTCTCTAGAATACTTCCTTCCCAGAACCTAGAGAGCAAAAAATATTTTCAAGCATTAAAAAAATATTGTATTTAATAGATCGAAATCTTTAACAATGTCTAAAAATTTCTTTCATATTTGAACGTGTGATATGGCACACAAATTAATTTTTTTGTAAATATATATTCACAATTGCGCAGTCTTCACCCTCTTGATCTAGATAACAATACAATTACTTCTAATAAATTCTTGAAGAACATTATCTATTTAAGATTTAGCAGGATTTATAGATTGAAATATCAAATATCTAATCTGATCATCTGGTTGCAAAGTTTAGACCATTAGAATTTGTGGCAAGCGTTCGTTCAGTCCGTTTGTTTAATAATACTTACTTTTGTGGCATAGGATCCATTCCCATAGATTGGAAGAATTCGTCAGCTTTCTCGAACATTTTCTTAGGAGTCCAGCCTTGTCTGCTCGATATGTTATTTTTTAACAATTTAATCAATAAAGATGACATTTACGAGAAACTAAAGTATGTGCGGACCGAAACATATAGTATTGTTTTGCTATTTGCATTAAAACAAGAATGATGGGTTGTATAGTATATACATCTTAATATTCAAAACTTACAGTTCCTAAAAAAGTATAAAACAGAAAATACAAAAATCAACGTTTGATGAGAATAGGCTCGAAATTCAAAGAAAATCCACTATTACAAATAATATTTTCGCCTTCGTGTTATTCTTAGATTTTTCTAGGAAAAATCACTAAAAAAGGTTAAATGGAAAAGCATAAACTGTAAACACAAGATGAATATCCTGATCCTAATCTGACAGATTTTCCTTTATGTCAGGGGATATGGGGGCGGAGCTTTGTTTTAAGAAGGGAGGGGAGTCTAAAGGGGGCCGCATTTTCTCAAGATCTCAAGCTTCTAAATGATCCAGGATAATATCTCACTTACACATGTACAACAAAATAATCAAACATTCGATTTTACATACAATTTTAAAGATTCGGTTTATGAAAATAATATTTTATAAAAAATCTGTTGGGGGGATTTTTAAACAATCCTTATTTTAAAATAGGTCATGAAAATCATGCCAAAATCAATGGTTCGACTAAAACTTGTTATTTCTCTTTTGCTTGTAATGCAATTTATAATGTAGTTACAAACAAAACGTTATTTAAATTTTTTTTCTAAATTTTAAGTTCGGAATTAAAGTGTTTATCAAATTTTATCTATCTTTTATATACTCGCGGAAAAACAGGGTAATCATAAAAATCTGTCAAAATCAAGGGTTCGACTAGAACTTGTTGGTTCTCTTTTGCTTTTAATACAGTTTATAATGTATTTGGTAAAAGTTTTTTAAATTTTTAATGTTTAAAAAATTATTTGTCTTATTTTTATCTTTCTTTTATAAAATTGCGGAAAAACAATCTTTATTTTAAAATAGGTCTTGAAAAATTGGCCATAAACGATATTGTTGATCATGTAATCAATATATTGTATGTGTGTGTGTGTATGAATGTGTGTATGTATAATGTACATTAATGTGCATATTTGTAATTCATGATTGATTGTAGTCTATTCTCAGATAATAAACACAAAACAGTCAGCTTTAAAGCTTTACATCAGAGATAAGAGGGTACAGAGATCTATTAAAGGCTAAAATATGCGATATTTTCCACTGCAGCATGTTTCATTGTGTACAATTGGAGTACAGGACCAATAAACAGACTTCTGTACTCAGGGATATTTAAGGATCCTTTTGATGCGAAATACAAAACCATCAAACATAGAATAAATTCATAAATTTTATGTGTTATGTTAAAAGTTAGAGTATTTCATTAAAAATTGTAAAACTGAACTCTTGAATGGGTATTATATCCAACAAGTGACCGTTAGATGGCGATCATAAACCTTTCGTGGGAATGTAGCATGTCGTGCCGGTACAACTATAAGCCTGCCTGCCTGAAGGGTGAATTAATACCAGGGAGCAAGGAATAGAAGGGAGAGACAACTGACGCGGTTCGCCCTACCATATGATTATACATGCTTTGCAGACGGTACTCCATTTTATATCGAGCTGTTTGGTTCTTTAGTAGGGCCCCACAGGAAAAATATATATTGGCGAAACTGGTCAAAGAAATTGAGCCAAAACATATTTTTCCTTCCTTCATCCCTCCTTCATAACTCCGTTTACTTGTTCTCTTTTTCTTCTCGTCTCACTTCCTGACTACGTGTATAAAGTGTGTGTACAGGATGAATGTTGATTTATGACAGAAATGGGGCAGAAAATCCTAAATTTATCATCAAAATTCAATGAGATAAGGAGCTATTCCCTAGGGAGTCATGAATACGAATTATATTAAGATATGGATAATCCAACACATCATAATATTTGAACCATTTCACATTTGTTTTAGTTCTATTCTTTTTACATATCTGTATAAGGAATAAGAGACAGACATTTATGTCATGTTTTCATATTATTCCATTGTTATGTTTAATGTTAAAGCGACATGATCATTTTCTGCTTAAAGGAGAGTGTACAGTGATAACCAGAAAACGCTGGAATAGAAAGTCGTCTTTAGACTTAGGGTATGAATTTAAATAAGTGATTTAATTACTTACTAGTAAGACATTTTTATTTAAACCAACNTTTATCTATTTCTTCATTTTATCTATTTCTTCATTTTATCTATTTCTTCATTTTTTCTATTTCTTTATTTTTTCTATTTCTTTATTTTATCTATTTCTTCATTTTTTCTATTTCTTTATTTTTTCTATTTCTTTATTTTATCTATTTCTTCATTTTATCTATTTTTATTTTTTCTATTTCTTCATTTTATCTATTTCTTCATTTTATCTATTTTTATTTTATCTATTTCTTTATTTTTTCTATTTCTTTATTTTATCTATTTCTTCATTTTATCTATTTCTTCATTTTATCTATTTCTTCATTTTATCTTTTCTTGGCCTAACTGTTCATCCTTTAAATAATGCAAAATTGTATGCTTCTTTTTTAAGAATAAACTATCCATCACATGAGTGATTTTTGCAATCTGAAAATATGCTTAAAGAGGGACTGTGTAAACGTTATTTAAAGTGACCCTTAATAGATAGAGTGGCATGTCTGATTAACAACGGCGGTACCCTTAAAAGCTTTATCTGATCAAGTACATCACCATGTTTTTGTTTTGAAAACTGTTAATATTCGTTTGGGGACACTTTGAAAAAGTGGCAATGGAGAAATTATTAATTAATTTTTAAGCAAAAAAAACAAAATGTTATCTTCAACATTATTGATCATAATAAGGATTCATTTACTTTTTAAACTTGAACAAATTAATAATATTATGTTAATACCGCACAAAAACCTTACTAGGAGGAGATGATTCATTTGTACCATCCCGTTCTGCCGTGTACAGTATGTACCGTCCCGTTCTGCCGTGTATAGTATGTACCGTCCCGTTTCTGCCGTGTATAGTATGTACCGTCCCGTTCTGCCGTGTATAGCATGTACCGTCCCATTCTGCCGTGTATAGTATGTATGCACATTGCATGCTGTACAATTTGCTCTAGCTCTGCTTAAAGTTCAGTCTGGTACTTCAAATTGATATTAGGTTTCTCCCATCTCACACTGTCATGTTTGGGCCTTAAACACGTTTTAGAATTGTCCTACCTCGGTAATGGATTGTTCTATTCTAAATGTTATTCTTACATTTACTTGGAATAATCTGAGCATTATTGTGGAAAATATTTTAATTAGATTCAAACACTTTGTCTCCTGCACAGTGCACAAGTAATTTATAATCATGCGCGCGCGGGATAATTTGTTATCAATTTACAGCAACAATCGGAGAAGGGTAGTAGGTTGGACCAAATTTATCCCCCTGCAGTATTAAAATGTGTTTGTTGACTGCAGTTCACACCCCTGGATTTATATCACATCTTCAATTAATTAGACTAAAGAGGAATTGATTAATTTATTCTAAAGAAAGAATAGAAGAAAAGATTCTTTTCTTTTCTTCCATTTGATAAGAATAATAATAAAACTTATAAAGAAAGGCGTCGCATTTTTTACTGAAAGGTAAATTGATTTCAGGAGTATTCTAGGGAGAAGGTTAGCACACTATTTAAAGAAATTAGATCGCTGTGTTTGACGGAGTATTCTAGAGAGAAGGTTAGCACACTATTTAAAGAAATTAAATCGCTGTGTTTGACGAAGTATTCTAGAGAGAAGGTTAGCACACTATTTAAAGAAATTAGATCAATGTGTTTGACGGAGTATTCGAGAGAAAAGGTTAGCACACTTTTTAAAGAAATAAGATCGCTGTGTTTGACGGAGTATTCGAGAGAGAAGGTTTGCACACTATTTTAAGAAATTAAATCGCTGTGTTTGAGAGAGAGGGTAAGCACACTATTTAAAGAAATTAGATCGCTGTGTTTGATGGAGTATTCGAGAGAGAAGGTTTGCACACTATTTAAAGAAATTAAATCGCTGTGTTTGAGAGAGAGGGTTAGCACACTATTTAAAGAAATTAGATCGCTGTGTTTGACCATTAAACTCAAATATTGTTATCCCTTTAGTTTTGCAACCTGATGGTGTAAACCTTTAATATTTCCAACTGACAGAATTCACAGTTTGAAATATCAAAGGTCTACTTCCTTTGTTTTCAAAGATATAGAGTCAGAGATCAGAACAAGTTCAAGTAATATTGATGTAATGGGATCTCCTGAATTTTGATAAAATATCCTAATTTTTTCCTGTTTTCCTGGTTTAGAAGATATGTCTCATACTTTCAATACTCCTAAACCTCCTAAACCTCCTAAACCTCCCAAACCTCCTAAACCTCCTAAACCTCCTAAACCTTCTAAACCTCCTAAACCTTCTAAACCTTCTAAATCTCCTAAACCTCCTAAACCTTCTAAACCTCCTAAACCTCCTAAACCTTCTAAACCTTCTAAATCTCCTAAACCTCCTAAACCTTCTAAACCTCCTAAACCTCCAAAACCTTCTAAACCTTCTAAATCTCCTAAACCTCCCAAACCTCCTAAACCTCCTAACTCTCCTAACCCTCCTAAACCTCCTAAACCTCTTCACCCTCCTAAACCTTCTAAACCTCCTAAACCTTCTAAATCTCCTAAACCTTCTAAACCTTCTAAACCTCCTAAACCTCCTAAACCTTCTAAACCTTCTAAATCTCCTAAACCTCCCAAACCTCCTAAACCTCCTAACCCTCCTAACCCTCCTAAACCTCCTAAACCTCCTAAACCTCTTTACCCTCCTAAACCTTCTAAACCTCCTAAACCTCCTACCTCATAAACCTCCTACCTCATAAACCTTCTAAACCTCCTAAACCTCCTAAACCTCCTAACCCTCCTAACCCTCCTAAACCTCCTAAACCTCCTACCTTCTAAACCTTCTAAATCTCCTAAACCTCCCAAACCTCCTAAACCTCCTAACCCCACAAGAATGTGCATATATGTTCTATGTAAGAATGTGTATATACGTTCTATGTTAGAAT